GACTAGAACCCGGTGTGCCGGCGGCGCAAGGCGGAGGATTAGCCTAGTGAGCTGCAGCGCCGGCCTTCTTTTAATTTTATTTCTTCTTTTTTTGTTCTGACTGTAAAATTTCGAGAGATTTGTCCCCTAACTCGAATATTCTTTTACTTCACTGAGTCTGTTCTTAAAGGCTTTCCACCATACTTTTTGTTTACTGAATTCTTCATTTCCAGTATTTCATTTTGATTTCTGTTTAAAATCTCAATTTTGTGGGAAAAATTTTCTTTCGTGTCATGTATGGATTTCTTTGGTTCATGGATTTGCTGCTTATTCGGGCATTTCATCAGTCTCTTCATCTTTACATTTGAGTATTGAAGTGTTGTTTTCTTTTGGGGTGTTGTCTTTATTTTTGTTTCTTGAATTGCTGTGTTTATTGTTGAAAACTTGTTGGTTTGGGGCTGGTGCTGTGGCGCAGCAGGTTAACGCCCCGGCCTGAAGCGCTGGCATCCCATATGGGCGTCGGTTCGAGATCCGGCTGCTCCATTCCGATCCAGCTCTCTGCTAATGCTGGGAAAGCAGTGGAAGATGGCCCAAGTGCTTGGGCCCCTGCACCCACGTGGGAGAGCCAGAAGAGGCTCCTGGCTCCTGGCTTCGGATCAGCACAGCTACAGTTGTTGTGGCGAATTGGGGAGTGAACCAGTGGATGGAAGACCTCTCTCTCTGTCTGCCCTCCCTCTCTTTCTGCCTATCCTCTCTCTATGTAACTCTGACTTTCAAATAAATAAATAAAAGATATAATAAATAAATTTAAAAATACATAAAATATAATAAATAATTAAAATGAAAAAATAAATGAATAAAATCTGAAAAAAGAACTTATTTTTTCACTCTGTGATGGCTTTTATCTTTGGGCTGTGCTCTTCTGGCGAATGCCCAGAGGCGTGCGCTTGGTGTGGTCACGGGCTCTCTGCGGTGCTCTAGGGTGAGCTGAGTGTCTAAGGTGACACCCAAGTGGGGTGTGGTAAATCGCCTTTTTTTTTCTTTTATCAGAGGGGAGGTTGGTTTAGTTGGTGTAGCTGTTTGTTGGTGTAGTCTCACGCTCACCTCCTCTCCTCCAAGGAGACCAGTGCCTGGGTGCTATCCCCAGTGGGTACAGTTTCACGAGAACCACATGAAGCATCCATGCAGTCCGTGGTGTGAACACGGATCCTGAAGCAATGACCCTCACCAGGGAATCAGGGAGCCCCGAGTGTGTGGAGCCGCCCACAGTGACTGCCCGAAGTTCAACCACACCCTGCACCCTCCCATGAAGCCATAGTGCTTTCACAGTCCTGGCACACAAGGCTCCCACAGTCACGAGCTCCCAGCCAGACTCGGGCATCTCCTCTTGGCTGGTTGCTGGGAGCACGGATGTGAGCCGGCACAGCTGTTGCCTATGTCCAAAGATGCCGGTGCCAGGTGGTCTGGGGGAGAGAAATGTGCCCCCCGCCTTTCCCCCTAGATCGGCAGGTGCACTGTCTCCCACACTCCAGGCCTGTTCCTCAGGCTCTTCCCACAGCTTTATTGCCAGGGGCTCGGGCTGCTGCAGTGCGGTCTCGCCTCACTCCGGGGCTGGCTGGGGCTGAGGCTGTCGGCTGCTGGGTCCTGAGCTGCATGCGTCCACACCCTGCACGGAGCTCCACAGCGGCCCTCTAGGAGTGTGGAGTTTCCTCTGCCATTGTTTCCCTCACCCTCCCTGAGTGCACGCTGTCCACTTTTCTGGGTAGATCCTTATTTCTGGTCCTATTTCATCTTCTTTCCTGATGTACTTCCTCATTTTTGTGGAACATCTGATTGCAGAGGATGTTAGTGATATCTTTCCCCAATTGGATTGGTTTGGCCTCTACTTTTTGTTTTATTATTTTATTTATTTGAAAGACAGAGACAGATCTCTCATCCACTGTTCACTCTCCAAACACCTGTAACAGCTGGGGCTGAGCCAGGCTGAAGCCAGAAGCCAGGTACTCAGTGTGGGTCTCCCACTGAGCAGAGGCCCAAGTATACTACACCACAGTGCCGGCCCTGCGCCTGCTTTTTATATTAGAGGTGTTCTTCAGATGTTCAGTGAACCTAAGGTGCATACTCAAATGGAGACTAAAAAATTGATCAAAAGCTTTGTATCAGGGCTAGTGCTGTGGCGTAAAAGGTTAAGCCTCTGCCCTCAGTCCTAGCATCCCGTATGGGTGATGATTTGAGTTCCAGCGGCTCCACTTTTTTTTTTTTTTTAATTTTTTTATTTTTTATTTTTTGACAGGCAGAGTGGACAGTGAGAGAGAGAGACAGAGAGAAAGGTCTTCCTTTGCCGTTGGTTCACCCTCCAATGGCCGCCACAGCCAGCGCGCTGCGGCCGGCGCACCGCACTGATCCGATGGCAGGAGCCAGGAGCCAGGTGCTTTTCCTGGTCTCCCATGGGGTGCAGGGCCCAAGCACCTGGGCCATCCTCCACTGCACTCCTGGCCCCAGCAGAGAGCTGGCCTGGAAGAGGGGCAACCGGGACAGAATCCGGTGCCCCAACCGGGACTAGAACCCGGTGTGCCGGTGCCGCTAGGCGGAGAATTAGCCTAGTGAGCCGCGGCGCCGGCCTGCGGCTCCATTTCTGATCCAGCTTCCTGCCAGTCCAGCTAGGTAAGCAATAGAATGTGGCCCAAGTGCTTGGGCTCCTACACCCACGTAGAAGAAGCTCCTGGCTTCGGCCTGGACCAGCCCTGGGCGTTGGGGCCATTTTGGGAGTGAACCAGAGGATGGAAGTGCTGTCTCTCTCTCTCCTTCTCTCCCTGTGTCTCTGCCTTTCAAATAAATAAATAAATCTTTGGAAAAAAAATAAAAAGTCTTTGTACCCATGGTGATTTTTGTCTTCTCTGCTCTGTAGTCAAGGCTGATCCTGTGGGTTATTTTCTTCATGAACATCCAGCATTACTGTGTTGAAATCTTTCCCCCCAGAGCTGGTCAGATACCCCAGGGAAGTCTCCTGAGTCTTGGATTGGGTGGGTGTGTGATCCTGGCTGTCAGCTGTGGGGACTGGGTGAGGAGGAGGAGGCCTGAGGGGGTAGGATTTGTCTCGCACTCTGGATGTGAACTCTCACTTAGGTCTGCTTTCAGTTCTCCGCTGGGCCTGCGCTGTCCTGCCCTGTTCCAGGGGACCTTCCCTGTACCCTCTCTGGAGGAGAGGCCAGTCTGCGGCCATGATTTGGGAGGGGCAGTCACTGGGCAGAGTGGGGTTGGAGGGAAGAACCTGACTGTTTCTTAATTAGACTTCTAAGCACTCCTCCTGGTGCTGTGTGCGCTGCCTTTGTCCGATTCCCAGGGCTCCCTGGGCTCACTGATTCCCAGGCCTTCCGTAGGGATGTCCAGTGAAGTTGGCCTTCCCCACAGCGGGCTTTGGATCTGACTCTCAGTTCTGCCAAGGAAGTAACCACCTGTCCATATGTGTTCCAACTTCTAAATTTTATTGCTGCTGTCTCTGTTTCTGTGTTATTTGTTCTTAGATTTATGTGTTTTAAAGCTCCCTTTAATTGTGGTGAGAGAAGGCAGACTGGGGTGTTTTCAATCTGCCACCTTAAAGTGGACTGTGTAAGAAAGTGTGTAGTGTATGTGTGTGTATGTGCAGTTTCAGTGTTTATAGAAACCTGTGTTCTTATACAGGCGTATTCTTTCAGAATCACCTAGAGGGCTGGGCTTGTGACGCTACGGTAATTTACATTTCTGCCAGTTCTCAGGTGATGCTGATACTGCTGGTCCGGAAACTATACTCTGAGAAGCACTAATCTAAAGCATTATGGGAATTACATGTAGTGCCCCAAAGCATGGCATTCCCTATCCCTAATTAAGCTTCTGTTCTCGGATCCTTGGATGTTCTGAATTGTTTTCTTGCTACAAACACTGCTGCACAGCATTCCTTGACCTTAAATCTTCGTATTTCCAAAAATCATTTCTTTCTGGTGAAATCTGAGAAGTAGAACTGTTGGGCTAGTGGGTCACTGAATGTGTGTTGTGTTTCTACTCTGGTGACGACTGTCGGCACTGTGGACACCGCGTGGAGCCAGACTGCCTGCCTTCGAGGTGTTGTGTTGTAGTGGGAGGAGGAAGATAATAAATGCACAATTAAAGAAAACTTCTTTACTGATAAGTGCTCAGAAGAGAGGATTTAGTGGATTTAGGAAAAAGGGTTTTGAGGAATGATTTTGAAGGTTAATGTCCAAGAAAACGTGGCGTTTCTCGCGTCCTGCCAGTCCTGCTGTGGTGTCAACTCGCACTCCTCTGGGGACTTCATCTGGTGCTGTGGCTGTCATCCACCACCAGCCATGTCCTGCATATAAACTGCCCTCTTTCCTCTAAGCTGTAGATTTTTATATTCAACTGCTTACTCGGCATGTCCATTGAGAGAGAGAGAGAGAGAGAGAGAATAAGCCTCACACTTAGTGTGCAGTTCTGACATCTTGAACTCTTACCAGACCTGTTCTTTGCCGTCTTCCTTGTTTCGGTAAACAGCATCTCCCTCTTGTTTTCCTTCTCTCAAGTGTTGGCACGCACAGAATCTGTGCGTATGTACGGGTGCTCTGTCGCTGGTAGAGGATTCCCGGGGAGTGGGGGGAGTGCTGCCCTTGCTGAAGTGTTCTGGAGGCAGAGCTCCAGAGGAGGGGCCGTGAGGGGTGAGTCTTGGGTCAGAGGAATTACACGTTTTTGCTTTGCTTTGTAATTGATTATCCTTTTTATTTATTTAAAAGTCGCTCATGTTCCCTATTTGAAATTCAAGCAGTTCCAGTCCTTTTTGGGAATCTCATGCCTCCTCACTCCCACGGGTGACCCACAGTTGCCGTGTCGGCTGACGTCCTCTCGCCTCCGTTGTAAGGCACAGTAATTGCAGCCGAATTCTGAGTTACATGTATTTCCCGTGTCTCTTTGGATTGGTGGAGGCTGTTGTTTTTCCCTTGTTGTCCAGAATAGTTACTCACGTATTTCAATGTCTTGATTTATTCCCGAAGAAACCGCGTCGATCTGCTCGGGCTCTCTTGATGGGGTCGAGTACTCGCAGCGGAAGGAGAAGGGCATTGTGAAGATGACTGTGCCCAGGACGCTTGCTTTCCTCTATCTGTCCTTACTTTGGCAGAGAGAGGCCGTCACTCTTTCAGACCTTCTGAGGTAAGTTGGAACTTTGTATGACAATCGGCATGAACTAGTGGACCGCCTTTGCAGAATTTGAATTTTACAGGAAGACTTGATGAAGGGACTGGAAATGTGGAGTGCCTTGGGTTATAATTCTGAAATCTGATCCCCTGTGGGCTAGTAATTTTGCTCCTTGGTTTTCTTATTTTTAAAGATTTATTTATTTATTTGAAAGGCAGAGTTACAGAGAGGCAGAGGCAGAGAGAGAGAGAGAGAGAGAGAAATCTTCCATCTCCTGGTTTACTCCACAGATGGCTGCAATGGCCAGAGTTGCACCAATCCAAGGGCAGGAGCCAGGAGCTTCTTCCAGGTCTCCCACATGGGTGCAGGGGCCCAAGGGCCTGGCCCATCTTCTGCTACTTTCCCAGGACATAACAGAGAGCTGAATCAGAAGTGGAGCAGCCGGGACTCAAACTGGTGCCCATGTGGGATGTCAGCACTGCAGGCGGTGGCTTTACCTACTATGCCACAGTGCTGGCCTGGTTTTCTTATTTTGTAATGAAAATAATATGTACCTCATGTAGGATATTGGAAGAATAATTATCTGTTGTGAATAAAATGTTTGGAAGAGTAAAGGTCACATTTAAATACCTGAGTAGTATCATTAGGTATTTTTTATTTCTAAGAAAAGATGAACACAGTATCTTTACATTAGCAAAATGGCTATTAATAGTTACACAGAAGGGGCCGGTGCTGTGACGGAGTTGGTAAAGCTGCCACCTGCAGTGCAGGCATCCCATATGGGCTCCGGTTCGAGACCTGGCTGCTCTACTTCCAATCCGGCTCTCTGCTATAGAAAGCAGTAGTAGATGGGCCGGCGCTGCAGCTCAATAGGCTAATCCCCCGTCTGCGGTGCTGGCACACCGGGTTCTAGTCTCAGTCAGGGCGCCAGATTCTGTCCCAGTTGCCCCTCTTCCAGGCCAGCTCTCTGCTATGGCCCGGGAGGACAGTGGAGGATAGCCCAAGCGCTTGGGCCCTGCATCCCATGGGAGACCAGGAGAAGCACCTGGCTCCTGGCTTCAGATCGGCACAATGCACTGGCCGCAGCGGTCATTGGAGGGTGAACCAACGGCAAAAGGAAGACTTCTCTTTCCACTCTGCCTGTCAAAAAAGCAAGCAAGCAAGCGGTGGTAGATGGCCCAGGTCCTCGGGTCCCTGCACCTGCGTGGGAGGAACTAGAGGAAGCTCCTGGCTCCTGGCTTTGGATTGGTGCAGCTCCAGCATTGTGGCCAACTGGGGAGTGAACCAGTGGATGGAAGGCCTGTCTCTCTCTGCCTTTCCTCCTTCTGTGTAACTCTGACTTTTGAATAAATGAATAAATCTTTAAAAAAAAAATAGTTATACAGAAGCATGCATTGGTATTCTAAGAGATAAAATATAGGTTGTCTTTATGGAAAAGTTGAAAGCAAAACTCTTGGGAGAGTGTTATGCATATAGTAAGCATCTACATTTTTTAAGAGAATTTAAAGGTTGTATAATTAATGAGAAAGTTGTGTGTAAGAAATTAGCTTTGTGTGGAAGACATTCTCACTTAGCTGTGCCCAAATCATTAAAGTGTAAAGGGTTTCCCCCTTGCTTTCTGTCTGCTCCATGTGACAACGTCCGGGTCTCTCAGTGGCCGGGTGCTGTTAGGACACAGATTTGGAGCCGCCAGTCCTGGGTTGGAGTCCCAGCTCTGCCGCTTGTTTGTTACACGCCCTGAGGAAGTCATTTAACTTCTCTGCCTCTGTCTCCTCATGGCGAAATGGCGCCCGTGCTAATGACTCCTCTTAGGCTGGTAACTGCTTTCCATGATGAACACTGCGTGAGTGGCATGCCGTGCCCTGGCCCCTAGGAGCTTGTGCTGGTCGTTATTCTTTTTTTTTTCACCATTGCCATCATCTTCGTTGCCCCTAGATCCTTTGATTAAATGAAGTGCCTTTGAATCTGGCCACATCAACCAAATAACAAGGCTTTTCTCAAGTGTGACTAACTCAGCGTGCAGATAGCCCGTGATTCGGTGGATTTTACTCTGGAGTTGAAGACCTCATCTTCCTTTGCATGCCCTCACGGGGTGATCTCATCCTTTCCCAAGGCTTTAATTACCATCTCTGTGCTGGTGACTCCACTCTTTGTGTCTCTAGCCCAGACTTGTCTGCTAAGGCCAGGCATGTATGTTCATATATATAGCTAACTGCTGGACACAGCTACTTAGATGTCTTTATGGTATCTCAGATCAGCGTGACTAAACAGAGGTTCACCGTCTGTTGCTTAAATCCAGCTCCTTCTCCAGCATAAAGGCCGTGCACCCTGTTGCACCCTATCAAGAAACCTGGGATTCAACTCTGCTCTGTCTCCATGTGGTCATATTATGCTCCCATAATTACTCTCGGAGCCATTCCTCCCACTACTCCGGGTGCCTCTGTCTGCCCTGTGCTCACATGCATCACTCAGTCTCTCAGCCAGCTCTGTGCCTGCAGTGTTCTGGCATTCCTGTCTGTTTTCCTCCTGATAACCAGAGGGCTCTTAGAGAAACAAATCCAATCATATCGTGAGAGCTGGGTAAGGGGGTTAGCCATCTTACCTGGGGCAGTCTATAAGAGGATGACAAAACTCCTAGAAATCTAACAGTATGGGAAAATGTTTATCTGAAATCCTTCTCAGGCAGAATATGATATGTGATTGAAAAAATGGAGGTAAGACCCCAACTCTGCCCTGTGTCTCCCTCCCTCTTTCCTGCTCTTTCTCCATCAAGGGAAATTCTTAGATTCCTTCAAGAAGATTGGATCTGTTTAGCTGGAAGGCATTGATTTTATTCTGTGGAGTTGGGGACAGAGCTTAGTTGCTTGGGGCGATAGGAGAAGAGGCCGCAGCCACCATGGGTCTCCTGTCTCTGTTTTCCTCCCAGGAAGAGCTCTAAGTCACAGGTTCTCCGAGTGTGGCCTCCTGGTCAACAGCTTCAGCATCACCTGAGAGCTTGTCAGGCCATCCTAGGTCTTCTGAGTCAGGAACTCTGGTATTCATCGGGAAGCTCAAGTTTGTGAACTACTGCCACACGTAGAAACAAATTAAAGAACATTGATTTGTAGGGTGTGCGTGACTAGTCTGGCAGAAAACCTGTGCACCTTACACTGATGGCACAAGTCCTCCTCCGTCTGACCGTGCAGCAACACCCCAGTCCTTAGGGTGAATCCATGCCTCTGAGCAGCCTGGGAAGGACCTTGCTGACTTAGCAGTGACACAGCGATCGACAAAAACAGCCAAGGTTTCTCCATGCCAGATACCAACACTCAGGTGTTGTTCCAGAGCCTGGACCCTTGAGATGCACTTGGGAGCCACGTGGGTGAGGCCCCTGTGCTCACGAAGCGCAAATCTAGAGGGAGAAACAAATGAGCAAATGCATAAGGAAAGGAGATAGGATGACGTGATGGCTGCTGTAGACTGGTTGTTGGGGAAGGCCTCCCTGCAAAGGTGAAGGTCAAGCTGCACTCTGAGTGAACGTGGAGCCAGCTGTTGCGGTCAGAGTACTAGCTAGCATTCCAGCCACAGCGCGGCCCTCAGCAGAGCAGGCTCAGTGTGACTGAGGAGGAGGAGGAGGGAGTGAGCACAGCGTGGCTGGGGAGAGGCAGAGAGGCCGAGGGTCAGCTGGGGTAGACGCAGGCCTCCGTAAACCAGCTCAGCCCTGTGGATTCCTTTACGTGAGATCCAGTGTTCATATCATGCAGTTCACCCCTTACACTGCAGTTCAGTGTTTCTCCGTGAAGTCGTGTGGCCACCACCTGTATCTGCTTCCAGGACATAGCCATCGCTCCGAGAGGAAACCCCTTGCCCATTGGAACTTGGGTGTTAAGTGTGACGGGAACCCCTGGACACTTGCAGCAGAAGATGTGGTGGGATTTGTTTTTAGAAGATGATTCCCACAGCTGTGTGCAGAGTGCATTCTGGGAAGGGAGGGTGAAAGGAGAGAGCCCAGGCAGGCTTCTGCTGCCTTCAGGCGGAAGGCGTGGTGTGGATTAGGGTATTGGTGATAGAGGACAGTGGATGTGATCTCCTCCAGGAGATGTGGAGGTAGAATGTGCCCACGAGTCTTCCTGACCTTTGAAATGAGATTTTCAGTTACTCTGCTAAGCCAGTACATAGCTGTGATTGAAGCTTTTTCTTTTTAAAAATATAGATTTGTTGAAGAGGACCATATTCCATATGTAAATGCTTTTGAGCGTTTTCCAGAAGAAATGAAACTGTATGGGCGTGACAAAGGCATCTTTGCTGTGGAGGTAACTCACTTTCCTTGTTGCTTTGCCATCACTAATAAGATACCAGAGTGGTGTGCTGATTTGTATTTCTTGCCAGACTCACTCTTTGATGTTGAAGTTTTTAAAATGCCATCTAGTTTTTGTTATATCCAAACATAGAATGTAAGCCATAATTTAATGAAGAGTAGAATTATTTTTATTTTCCTCATGTGGCTTCTTCTAATTCTTTAGATTATCCTCAAAATGCACCTGTGGTGTTATGTGTACACACTGCAGATAGTATATTGTTGGGACTGAACTTCAGAAGTTTTTTATAGGCAGCTTTAGATAATTTCGCTAAAGGGGCAGGCACTTGGCGAAGCAGTGGAGAAGCCACTGGGACACTTACATCCCGTATCAGAATTCCTGGATTGGGTCCCAGTTCTGTTCCCATTTCCAGCTTCCTGCTAATGTACGCCCTGGGAGGCAGCCGATAATGGTTCAAGAGTTGAGTTCCTGCCATCCACATAGGAGGCCCGAATTGAGTTCACGGCTCCTGGCTTTGGCCTGGTGCAGTCTGGGCTGTTGCTGTTTGGGGAGTGAACCAGTGGATGGGAAATCTCAGTCTCTCTGCAGTTCTAGCTCTCTCTGTTGCTAGTGCTCAAATAAGTAAAAGTTTTTAAAGATGTGTTTTAAAGTTTTAAAGATGTGTTTTTGTTGTTTATACACTAGGTTGCTTTGGAGGAAAGAGAAAAAGTTACTAACTTATTTCAGAAGGTGTTGTATTAAGTCCTTCACTTGGTTAGTTTATCTTTTTCTGGATCTGTTTCACATGTCTCCTGTGGAAGTGCTTCTGCCCTTTAATTAGGAATCTTTATCACTATTTCCCTTTGGTCTTCATCAGAAGGTTCCAGCATACGAAATACTAACATTACATATTTCCTTCATTTGCTCACTTAATGAATTATTTTCATAGAATTTTGTGACTTTCATTACCTTGATATTGTTTGCAGGGTTGTTTTTTTTTTTTTTTTTTTTTAAGATTGCTTTGTTTATTTGAAAGGCAGAATGACAGGAGAGAGAGGCAAGCAGACAGAGAGAGAGAGACAGACAGGTAGGCAGAGAGAGACAGACAGGTAGGCAGAGACAGACAGAGAGAGAAAAGGCAGGCAGGCAGGCAGGCAGGGAGACCTTCCATCTACCTGGTTCCCTCTCTGTGTGGCTGCTGTAGCTGGGGCTGCACCTGGCTGAAACGAGGCCCAGGAACTTCATCCAGGTCTCTCACAGGGGTGGCAGGAACTCAAGTACTTGAGCCATCGTCTGCTTCACAGGCTCGTTAGCAGGAAGCTTGATCAGAAGCGCAGTAGCCAGGACTTGAACCAGCAGCACTCTGATAGAGATGCAGGTGTTGCAAGCTATGTTTTTTTTTCTATTTTTTGACAGGCAGAGTGGACAGTGAGAGAGAGAGACAGAGAGAAAGGTCTTCCTTTGCCGTTGGTTCACCCTCCAATGGCCACCGCGGCTGGCACACTGCGGCCGGCGCACCGCGCTGATCCGATGGCAGGAGCCAGGTGCTTCTCCTGGTCTCCCATGGGGTGCAGGGCCCAAGCACCTGGGCCATCTTCCACTGCACTCCCGGGCCACAGCAGAGAGCTGGCCTGGAAGAGGGGCAACCGGGACAGAATCCGGTGCCCCGACCGGGACTAGAACCTGGTGTGCCGGTGCTGCACGGTGGAGGATTAGCCTAGTGAGCCGCGGCTCCGGCACGTAAGCTGTGTTTTAACTCACTGTGCCACAAAACCAGCTCCTGTTTGTGGCTTAAGAGACATCTGTTGAGTGTCTGATAGGTGCGTATGACATTAAATAATGTTTGTAGCAGTTTAATAAGAATAGCTTGTTATGGTGAAATTGAGACTCAGAAAAGTTAAGTAACTTGCCCGTGGTCATATAGTTGGCAGATTACGAAACCTGGATTTGGCCCCAAGGATTTCCAGTGAGGAAAGTCATTTTTTCTTGTCTGCCACAACATCATCTCTTCTGATAAAAACTACAGTCTGGAGGGGGGTCGAGCTCCAGAGGTGGTCAAGAGACTGCAAATTCTCTCCCTCACAAATATAAAATTGGGCCAAATATCCCCTAAAACCCTCCAGAACTCAGATCCTGGAACTGACTGAAGGCAAACAAATTGGCACTTAGACCTAGGCCCGTTCCCCTTTACTCGCAGCTGTCGGGCAATGGAGCTGCCTGGGTAGCTTCACTGTGGGAGGATCTGGCTTGATAGAGAGCAAAAAATATCAGGAAAAACATAAAATTCTGCCAGAAACAGCCAGGGAAAGGCCACAGCCCCGTTAGCCTGAGACCAAGGGGTTGCTGGGAGACTAGCAGAGATTGAGCAGGGAGCCCAGGGGGCAGAGAGCACGGTGACCGGGTGGCGTCGGAGACCTGGGCACGTGCCGCTGCGGGGACCTGAGCTCCAGTAAAAGGCGAGGTTTCACTGCCGACAGTTAGGGTTCCGGGACAACGTCTGCAGCTTAGTGCAGGTAGTGACTTGCATCTGAAACCTTGACGGGCTTTTCATTATTACTGATTTATTACTGGTCAGTCTCTCAAAGGTCAGTATATACTCTTCTTTAAAAACAGAATTTCAGACGTTAAAAATAAACATATTGGGAAGCCAGAGTAATCTAACATTTCTTATTATTTAAGCTAAGATATTTTTACTTCTCAACTTGCTAAGTCTCTTATAAAATACTTCATCTTTGCTCTCTTAAAGGTAAATAAATTACTTGGGTAATTTACTATTTGATACTATGGTGGGAAGGGAGAGCCTTTTTGTCAGTTTATATTGCTTAAAAGGTTGGCTTTGGGATGAAAGGTATATCAGAAATATGTAATAGTGGTCTGACTTTGCAGATTGATGTCTATTCAAATATCCTTTGATGGTCAAGTTGATATTGGGGTTTGTTACTTCCCAGCCCAACAGTGTTGATATTGTGCAAATATAAAGTGAAATTACAATTTTTCAGGAGTTCAGACATTTCGTTTGATGTTTGAAATTAGCGCAGGAAAAGTGCTTGTGACTCTGCTGGCAGAGTGCAGTTGTCGCTCATCACCACCTTGTTTTCTGTAGTTTTTGGTTACCCGTGGTCCACTGCAGTCCAAAAATGGTCCCTGAAAAATGCTAAAAATAAGCAGTTCATTAGTTTCAAATTGTGCTGTTTTGAGAAGCATGGTGAAATTCTCCCAAAGTCCCCTGTAGCCCCATCCAGAGGTCTGGAAGGTGACTCGCTCCTTCGTCCAGTGGCTCCATGCCGTCTGGGTCATCAGATCGACTGTGGTGGCGTCACACTGCTTGTGTTCACGTAACCAGTATTTTACTTAATGGCCCCCAAGTACAAAAATAGTGAATCTGGCCGTCTGGATACAACAAAGGCAGGTGTGACGTTCTGCCTTTAAGTGAAAAGCTGAAGAAGTCCAAATATTTTGAGAGAGAGCGAGAGACCACATTCACATCACTTTTATTATAGTGTATTATTAGATACTCTGTTTTGTTATTATCTACTGTTACTCTCTTATTATACCTAATTTATAATTAAACTTTATCATAGGTATGTATGTAAAAGAAAAAATAGGGTTCAGCACTATCCAAGGCTTCAGGCATCCCCTGGTGTCTTGGAAGATGTCCCCCAAGATAAGGGGGGACTGCTGCAGTTAGCAGTGGAAGAAGGAATGAGAGTGTCACAGCAGGTGCTTCAGGAGGGGAGACTGGAGTGGAAGATCAGCAGGGGTCCCTGGTAAAGCGGGTAGAGACCTCGGAAACTACAAAGTCAAAACCAGTGGGAAAGATACCATGTTGTTATTGTACAATGTTGCTAGGAAAATTATGCTAAAAAGGGTATCAATGATTCATTCATTCATTGTTTGTTTGTTAGGAGAATTTAGCAGATATAAGGTAAACTTACTGTGTGTGCTTTTTAGTTTTGTTCCTCAAATTAAAGTCCCAATTAAAAACCTTTTCACTATTTATTAGTAGATAAAATTCTGGCTTCTATTTTAAGTAGATTCACTTTGAGTGACTTTTACTGGCTTGAATTATCTTTGGATAATAACAAGATAGGGTAAGAAAATTGTTTCTCTAAAATGATGCTATTGCTTATTTTTTAAACAGTAATCTAGAATGTTTCATGTAAATAAAGATGCTTTACTAAATTATTTCCATTTTTAAAATTTTACCCACTATTCTTACTTTTCAACAGTTTTAAGTTATTACTTGACCCAACTATATCCTGAAAGTGCAGACTGTATATTTATGCTAATAAAATATATTGTTTGTGAGTTGTACTTTTGCACATGAAGGGAACAGAATATTCAAATATATAGGGCTTGATTTTATAGAACAGGTGCATTTCTGAAAAGCTCGATATAAAGAGTTGGATTATATGTCTTTGTTTACATTCACTGTAAAGTCAGAGACCTCAATCTGTTGTGAAAATGCAGTCAGGAATTAGAGTACATCTTTGGAATTACATGTTTCAGCCACTTTGTAAAAACCTGTGTACCCCTGCGATTCAAAGTAAGCATGAGTTGTAGACAGTATATTACAACTTAAAATACTGTCTTTACACCTGTTCTTGGCATCATATCCTCCCATGCAATTTAAATTTTTTTTTTAAGATATATTTATTTGAGAGGCAGAGCCACAGACAGAGAAAAAGGTCTTCTGTCTGCTGGTTCAGTCCCCAAATGGCCGCAATGGCCGCTGCTGGGCCCATCCAAAGGCAGGAGCCAGGAGCTTCTTCGGAATCTCCCAATGGGTGCAGGGGCCCAAGGACTTGGGCCATCTTCCACTGCTTTCCCAGGCCATTAGCAGAGAGCTGGATCGGAAGTGGAGCAGCCGGGACACGAATCGGTGCCCATATGGGATGCCAGCACTGCAGGTGGAGGCTTAACCTACTATGCCACAGCACTGGCCCTGGACTTAATTTTTTTCTTTTAATGTATTTATTTATTTGCAAAACAGAGTTAGAGAGAGGAAAGACAGA